ACCTTTGTGTGGGGGTGTATTGCCACACCCATTTACCCTAAATCTTCTCTTTAATTGATACCATACAAATCATACCATGGGCACAGTGGAAGTATCTCCGGTGTAACACACCTTGTCAGTTAAGCTGACACTCTCTGCACCGGGGGGAAGTGCATCGGGTCAACTCGCCACTGTGTAGCTTGGGTCCGAAGTATCGGATCCAGGCTAATTAGCATCCCCGGAGAAGCCCCATGTTTCAGGGGCCACTCCTCGCCGATAAGGCCGGCGGTCCCTGCCTGGCATCGGGCCGGCTAATCCCTACCTATTAGGCCCTAACACTGTTTCGCATTCACCCAGGCTCAAAGACCTGTGTAGCAAGGAAAAAACCCTGGAATTACTCTGAAGGAAAATTCCACGGAAAAACCCGCCCCGAAACAGCCGGGGTTACATAGGAACTTTTTCCGGTGAAAACAGTTTTTGAAAAAATCTGCACTCACTGGGATTCGAACCCACGACCCCTAGAACAGCGTTGTATCAGTAGCAAGCACAAGATTTGGCACGCTTACCACTGAGCCAACGCCTCTCTCACGTCAGATATTCATAAAGTACAATTAATCTTCTCTAATCTTATTTAAGTGAGGTCATCGTCACTGATTTTAACTATTTATTATATCAATTAATGCATTGAATAGAAAATAAACGAAAGTATAAGTTAACACGTTTATTACTTACTCAAAATCAAGGTAAACTTTCTTTTTTCAACACATACTTTAATTAATTATTTATTGTTTTAGAATTCGTAGATAACAAGAAATTAAACACATTAAGTACTTCGTTAAAGAATTTTAAATAATTGACAAATATAGTTTTGCATACTAAATACAAATTAGTACACAAAATTAATAGTGGTTACATTAAATGTAGTTAAAAGTTTAGAAATATTGCTCATCAACAACAAGTGCTATAGTTACAGTCGTTGTACTTAATAAAATTGAAGCAATCTCTTGAGCAACAAAAAATTAAAAAACCATGTCAAATTTCGTCACAATCATCTTGGACTGTGAGTCATAAGGGGAACTAACTTATTAAAAATATCTGATTTTTGTTGTTTCGTTATATATACCATATACCGTACAGGTTTAACTTGTTTCACAACTTTGAGGTGGCGTGGGCGATTTTTATCGGCTTGATCAAAACCTCTAAAATTCTGGAATCATGTAAATAAAGTATGCCAAATTCATTTGCGATAAAAAAATACTTGTGTCAACGACTTAATTTTTTCTGCAAATCGCTACTGAAAATTCACCAAGTTAACATGCAGTCTTATGGGAATGTAAAACGGCTATAACTTTAGAAGTACTTGATTAACCTCAAGAATTTAAAATAGTTCACGTATATTTTTTTTTACAAACAATCTATTAAATTCTTGAAAATATAGGGTCAACGACTTAACTTACGAGAAAATCAGAAGAAAAGTATAAAATATTTATCTGGCTTGCCTCGCAACATTTCCCAATATTTACAGTTATATTTCACGGTACTTTTCTGGCAATTACTTGATCTTATACTTTAGTTTTATCGAAATAACTATATTTATTGAAAAATTTACCTTCGAAAGGTATTAATTTTTTAGGGGCCCTTATAGCACCCTACTCTAGGTACAGTACTAACCGCCCAAGCCACCTTAATATTTTTATTTTTCTTTATTTTTAGAAAGAAAAATTGTCCAATTCTTATTTTAAGCAGAGCAGTTGTCTAACCATTAATCAATAGTGTTTTAAGCATGGTCAATTAAAAAAAATTGATGAATGGCACTAACAATATTCTCATACTTTTTTCCAGCAACGGTTCCGTGCCATAAATCAGCTAGAGGTTTTTGGTTTGACGTATCCAAAGGTATAAAACTTGGTTAAATGCAACCAAGCACTTGGCAAACATGACAAACTTTAAAGTCCATCAATTGAGATAACATACTTATCTTTTGTAAATCAACCGAATAAAAATCAATATTCGTTTATCTTGGTTTTGTTCGACGTATTCTTGATATTTTTTCCGAGCTTTCCGATATTTCAAGTGGTGTCCACTGTCAATTGTGCAACGTTCACAATCAGGAGATAAAGTTTTTGTGTGCTCCGAATTATGTTAATTAAATTGCTCACATACTTTATACCGTTCGTTACCTAATTTTTTAAAACAAATGTTTATCTTTACAAAAACATAGCATACTTTTCAGACGACAATGATCACATTACCAGAAAAATATTAAAAAATGATTAACTACAATCGCACTAAAGGGTTTCGAAGCAAATTATGCTTATACAAGAAAATCGATGTGACTTGCTCTTCATTTTACTTACAGTATAAGGTAGAAGAAAGAGAAGCTGAGGCAGCAGAGAAAGCTTGTGAATGCACGACTTTACAGTTCTAAACAATGATTGCTTTAAAAAAGACCTGTTTGAATCGGTTTGAAAATAATTTTGTACATGAATAAAGTATTGTGCACATAGTAATCCGAATTTGAACGTTTGTATTCAAAACTGTAGTTGTTATACTTCTAATTATTGCACAAAAGTAATATACATAAAAATAAGTTCAATCTTATTTATTAGATATGATCATTTGTTACCGATTCTATAACTTTTATCTAGATAAGTTGGCTGGAACTACACAGGCTGGAAAGCGTTGGCAAACATTCGACTTTATAATTTTGTAATAGGCCGTCATTTTTTAATTTTTTGATCAGAGTGAGTGTATATTTTTAAATATATAAAATACTATATCATACCAAGTTCTTACCAGATTTAAAGTACTACAGGTGTTTTTTTTCAATACCTTTATTTTTTAAATTCTTTTCATTTTTCTGCTTAATCATTTAATCATTTTTGCCATCGTATATTTTTGCTAACAAGTAATAGTTTTTAGTTATAGAGAGAAAACAGAAACAGAGCCATTTTTTAAAGTTATGAAAAAAAAAAAAAAAAAAAAAAAACTGTAACGGTGACCTTTCTAATTGCAGTCATTTAAAAAGCTTAAATTATTTGTTTAGATCTTTCATTGAAGCCCTATCTGTAGGAATTAATTTCTAAGATAAATTTAACTAGTTTCTTATCATCTGAAGATCAAGTTACTTTTTTGATTATTCCTTTATGTACATTCCGTATTCTTTCATTTCATGTTACTACATTTAGTTGTTATCCACTGAAGCAATTTATATTTACATTTTTTATACATGACTCTATATTTTGTTTTTATATTATTATCAACAATTTTACTACAATTTCATTATAATTTTTTTATGAATATTGTAAAAATAATTTCATAGGGAAGAAAGGTTTTATATAATTTTTTTGTAAAAGCTATTTCTTGTTTTGAAGTGAACCTTATGTATCAAAGATTTAGGCAATTTTTTAAACTTCATGTATAAAAACATTAAGTTCTATTTATAACTAGCTATTAATTCCTTCAAGAAGTCAATTCCTATGAAAACATCACTTTTTTTCTACTATCTGCAAATATTGCTTTTAATGTATCGTAATGCAATTCTTAATTAAGTAAACTCTACTATTCGTTGTTTCTTGAAAAATAATTTTTTTTAATCGACTAATTTGAATTATTTAATTAATTTTAAGCATTGATTTATTAATATTTGTATTAAAATTTAGAGTATAATGAATTACAATTAATAAAAAAAAAAAATGATTACATTTGTACCTAATACTTTTGTATTAAATGTTGTCCCTTTAGTTATCTGAACAGCAGACAATATCTAAAGGAGAAGAGGAAACAGACGATGTATTGGATTTGGGTGTCACCGATGCACTGGATGACTTGGAAACAGAAGAAGAAAATGTACACTTTAAAATTATACATGATAGTTCCAAGCAAAATGAAGTTTTTGCTGTTAAGAAATCGAAAACAGGTTTTGTTCAAGAAAATGAACTTGTGGCTTTCCAAAAAATACAAGAATATCATGATCCAATGGATTCAAATACTACACTTAAAAAGCATAAAGATTTACGAGAAAAACTTCGTGAAAAAACAAATAGTCGTCGCGAATCTTTTTGTACTAATAGCTGTAACCAATTATTAGAAGATGATGAGTTTGAAGTAATTAGAGAAAAAAGAAACAGATTTTTAACGGAAAGAGTTTCTACAATAACAAAAATGAATCATGACATTCCAGACTCGTTAGAGAACGTTTTGACTGTAGAACACGATAGATCATCCTACAAAGACCGAGAAAGAGGTGATAGAAATAATAGAAGTGATAGAGCTGACAAAAATGAGAAATGTGATAGAAACGACAGGGTTGATAGAGCTGACCGAGCTGACCAGAGGAATAATAGAGGAAAATATGATGTATATCAGTTCGGAAGGTAATTATAAATTTGTGTTAGTTTGTTAAATCCTATTAGCTTTTCTTTCTATTTGTTTTTTTTTTTAATTTTCTTGGTAAATGTATTTTATATATATTCATGTATATTAAATTGTAGATTAATTGAATTAGTTAAGTATATTCACATTTTGAACGTATATTTAACAGATACTACCATAGTCGTGCCCCTTCTTTGCCAAGTCAACAGGCTGCTCAAAGAGGACCACCGATTGATAGTAGAATATCTTTTGAACCATTAAGACTGTCAAATAACACATCTTTGACTCAACAACATCAAACTTATTCATATCATAACTCTCAAGGTCAAACAATATACAGCCAGCATCGTCCTCAATTCATTGGCTCAAACTTGGCAATGGTTCCTAATCCGTTTGCAGACACAATATTACTGCCTCAGAATCCACACATAAACATTTCGAGAACAAATTATGGATCCCGAGGTCCACCTGTTGGTCCTCCTAGTTTTACGATTCATTCACCTGGTCTATCAGGAGCCTTAGGGCATCGTTCCACTGGACCTCCTAGGCCACTCGACGCAATGACTTCCATTCCTCCCAGTCCAGGCTCTGCACCTACTACTTATAACAGCTCAACTAATCACTCTCAATTTCCGCAAGGAAATCAAGCAATTTTCCCTAACCAAAGATTGCCGTGTCATTTATCTGATGATAGAAGAGTTCTGCATCAAAGTAGTCATATATCATCGTTACCTGCCATGCAAGGATCTGGTGTAGTTGGAGCACATATGCCCGCAAATCAAGTTCCAATTATTTCTGCGAGTCAAGTGGTGTCTCCACAAAATTTTAATTGTCAGCAGACTTCAAGTTTATCTGTACATCATCAAAATATTTCTAATCCGATACCTAACCAATCATCCTTAGAAGGCAGGTTATCATTTTCAGAAGTCTCCCAGTTTAAAATTCATCCTACGTTTGATACAAGAGATGTTTACTGCAGCAATCCACCCGTGAGCCAAATTAATAACGCAATACCTCCAATCTCTCGATCATTAGTTCAAACTTCATCGACACCAATTCTTCTTCCACACTTATCGAGTGTAGCTAATATTCAAAATGTCCCAGTATTGTCGACTGGCCACAAAATACTGATAAATCCACATTTCAGAGGGAACTCTGCAAAATGTACTGGTAGGTTTTTTTTTACTTCCATATTTATTTGCATTAGTTAGAAATATGAGTAACGTTTCAAATATTTTTTATACAGCGCAAAGTTCAGCTGATAAATTTGTCCAAGCATTAAAAAATGCCTCAAAGACTTCATCAACTGAATTTGGTTTCAGCAATCAACAGTCAAAAAGTGATGTGAGTATTGATAACTTAAGTATCAAAAATTTGTATAAAAAATTTTATTGACTTGAAAAAGATCCCTGGTACATATTTAAATTATATACCCTCGAAACGGGCATAACAAACTTTTATGTAATGTATCTAGTAACTGTATGATAGATAAATGAATCAAGATGTCATAATTTCTTGTAACGATTATTTTTACTGTAATTGACACACTGGATAAGTAACTAAACCGCCTCTTCACTGAGTGAGTTTTTGTTAAGCAGCATTGAGCATAGTTTTAACTGAAACAAGTAATATCTTTCACCGTTAGCTTTGAATATTTAGCTAGGATTACGTTTAATAGAATAAATAAATCGCTTTAAAATAACGCACATGATTTACAAAGGATTTATTATCCACCAACAGTTTGACTTCTTATTGAATTTGGAAAGTTAAACTTTTCTTAAGCTAGGTGGCTCTAACTCTTGCACATTTTGAGATCCAACCGCCACTATTTGATTAAACGTTTAAACGTTTTTTACGTTAAAAAATTTTCAATGTACGATTCATATCATTTCTTTTTTAATGAATAAATAATTAATATTCTAGTAAGCCTAAAGTTAAAATTAATTTCTTAGTCCTTAAATTCATACTTAATCATTGTCCTGCTTCAAAAAAAACCACGTAGTCAGCTTCTACCAATTAAATCTAAATAAAAAAGCGTTACCACGCAACTGATCAATCTTTTAAAAAGACAAAAATTAACATCTGCAGAACGTGTTTGTTATAATATTATCAGCTTTTAAGAAAAATTCTATACTGAATTTTTGTGCCCCAATTAAACTGTGTAATTGCAAAAAAAGGTTGATAGATTATTGTGTTTTAAAATATCATCTTTATCTTATTGCAAAGAAACATTACCGTTACTTCACTGTAAAAATTATAGTAGCATTAGAATCAACTTTCCTGAAAAAAAAAATTACCCTTAAAATGCGGTAAAAATTATAGTGATTGTCAGATCGTCCTAACTTTACCGTTACTTTTACGGTAAAAATTCAGATGATTGTTTTTTCCGTTTGGTGATTTCATTTACATCAGTTAATACATAATTTATATACTGTGTTAAATTCAAATGTTATAAAATAATTTTTTAAATTTGAGGTTATAAAGCATATTTTGATTAAATTTGAAAATTATATAATTGTAAAAACTTTTATCAGTACACCCTTGCCCAAATTTCGTCGATTCTGCTTCAATTTCGTGACAGAAACAGCCTCATTACAGAACGGTGCTACATGCAAATATATCCATACTCTCAGTGTAAGAGAGCATTGTATATAGGCGCGAAGTGGTGCAGTCTGGCTCACAGTAGCGTATAGATACTTATAATGTATATGTATATACATATACATACATAGGTACTGTAGCAGCAGATGTAACTAGCTGTTCAGCAGACTGAACCTGACTAAACATCTTTTTGGTTCAATATACTGATCCATAATGTCTCCACACTTTTGTTTATATAGGCTAAAGAGTAAAGAGGTATAAGTATTTATTCAATGTGAAGTAGTGTACGTGTTGTGCAGTATGTATTTTTCCTACGTTAGGCCTTGAATTATTGTTATTTTTGTTCGTGTTACATAGCATATTTTTATAAGGTATCGGTATTTTGGCCATTGTCGATATTTTGAGTGACACAAAATAATTTTTTGAACAATTTTTACATGATGTTGTACAAGATTCACGTAAAAATTTTGTACATTATTAGATTCGTGTTGAAATAAACAACTTTAATACGAGTGTTTAAGAATTTTTTTGTCAAACTTTCGGTAAGGGTGTGCAAAAAAAAATATGCGCACCACGAGCAGAAAGTAAGGTATTATTGACCGAGTTTGACCTACCGTTCATATCGACTCGCCTTTGGCTCGGGCAGCAATTACTACGTGATCAGTAAAATAAAATCATCCAACTTTTGTTTTAGGTGCGTAATATACTATTGATAGTTTAAACTGGTTGAGTATAAAACTGAATGAAATAAAAGACAAACTTCCATGAAGTTGTTGGTTTTCTTTTTGGATCCAAGGAAAACAACTTCAAGTATTAGTTCTTTGAAAGTATGCGTTAAATTACAAATGAGGATCACCCGTTTAATGAAATAGACAGAAAAAACGTTTTTTTTTTTTCAAGAAAAGTGGCTTGAGCAATTTCCGTGGCTCGTAAAAGTATCAGGACTTGGAGTATTGCATGAAATATGTATGGAAATGAAAAATCTTATCGATCGATGATAAAACGCATTTTGCGAAAAAGGATTTGGTTCTTAGCACAAGGCTCTACAAAAATTTAGAGATTATAAAAAATCTAAAGACCACATTTTTTTATTAAAAAATAGAATTCATGAAGATAAAACCGATCAAATTGAAACTCAGCTGAATAACCAATTCAACACTAAGCAGAATCCAGAAGGAAATGGTTTAGAACAATTTTCTTAAGCTATAATGTATTTGTATTTAGCTTGACAAAATATATCAATCAGAGGTCATGATGATAATGAAGAAATCAAATTATTTTGCTCTAATAGTAGATTAAACATAAGATACCTCTGGCACTGATAAACATTTGATTTGTGTCAGATTCATAGACAAAAATAGTTTACAGCCCCGAGAGGAGTTTGTAGAATTTTTTTAATAAAAAAAACTACTAGACAAGAGATATTTAACAAAATTTTAGAAGTTTTGAATAACCTTGATATATCTACAGATTAATTACGTTGGCAGACTGACGCTGGGGCAAGCAAAATGTCAGGAGACTACAACGAAATTCATGCCACTATCAAAAAAATCCAACCTCTAGCAGATTATGTCTACTACAATGCTTGTGCGTCCAACTTAACAGCACAGATCATTGCTATAAGCAGTCCTTTAGTTTCATTAACTTTTACCAGTGCCGTCAGTAGTAAATTAGGTATTACCAAATATAAATGAAACGATCTCCTTAATATGATAAAAGAAGATTCTGCAGTTTTTATTAATTTTTGTAAATCTTTTGTCGAGACGACTCAGTAGCAAATCTAGAGTTACATTCGTAAATAATAAACTAACATCAAGCGATTCAAATCAGAATTTTTGTGGTATAGTAACTTATTTTGTAGTGTCAATAAATTATAAATTCTTGTCAATGTGTGATTTTGGAATCGATACATTGTTTTTCAAATTATCATTTAAAATCTCTGCTAAAAAATGTGTAGGTCTATTGATCGTAGAGATTATTAATCTTAAGGGGTAATTGTCTTAATGAATTATCGGAAGTCTATATGTTTTTGCTAGGTTAGTGTTTGTTGAAGTTGATGATCCATTATTGTATTTATTCTTAAAATAGTTATTGTCATTTAAATCTTTTGAAATGTAAAAGTTTTAAAGCTTTTTTAGTAGATTATTGCTAGTTTTTAGATAGACGATTCACACAGCCCGTCTGAATAGCAAATATGAAGGTTAAGAAATGTCCTAGATTTCACGTTGTCCGTTCAGTCACGTGACATCTACCACATTCTCAACCTTGCTCACTAGGTTCGTAATTTACTAGCCTTTGTAATATTCGTTATATATATCTAAACGGACGTCCACGTACTTAATTTTTATTCCTCTTCTCTTTATTTCTATTGTGTAGTGTAATAAAACATTATGAAAAGGTTTAAAAATTGAGCAGACAAAACGTTAATTTTTTAATCATCAATACTGTGTTGTATTTACGTACAACACTTTAGTCTCCTTCACGATCATATAAAAATTACTTTTTTAATGTATTTAGAAAAGAAAATTTTATTTGATTGAAAGATTTGTACAAGGTGTTACTTTCCGTGGTTGACAAAAACAGCAGTGACATAATAATACATAATATTAAAAACATGACATCTATAGCAATTAGTGATAGAGTCAACGTACTATGTTAGTAACATTTTTTTTTAATTTTCTGCCTATGTAAGCTTTTCTTTCAAACAAACTTTTGGCCATCCCTCATCTCCCATATATTTGGCATATGCATAGTAGTAGTAGTAGTGGTAGTAGTTTTTTTTTTTGTGGAGGGAGGGGAAATGCATTGAAGCACACCGCAGAGACAGCAGTAGTGTGGGACTCGGTGGATTTTTTTTATTAGACCACCCATATCCACTAAACTCCCCCATGCCGCGTGGTTTTAGTTCCACCCCGTAACCGCGTTAGCATTTCTTAAGGGTGGAGCCTGCAGGGAGACCATCGCGTCTCACAGCATTAACGAGCAAGCTCGCCACCATTTGCTAGATGTGCCAATCCTCTCAAGTCCTGAAAAGGACTCGGGGTCCCTGAGACCCACCACCCTGTCTAGCGCTCTATAGTAAGCTGCTAACTTAGCAAGCACCACTATAAGCTTAATGCTTTCCCTTGCTGATAGTTACAAGTACTTAAAGCGGCTTGGGTCCACATTAGCCCACCTTCCTACTCAAGGCCTTCCCGCCTTATTTGCATCCTCCTTTAGCCTTTTTTATGGCCTCTTCTAGCGCTTTTCTAAATAGCGGGCAGCTCCCACTGCCGGCTTTGTGCTTGGTTGCTTTTGATTAGAGAAAACACCGTGCTGGGCATCAACACTGTTTCTTCCGGAGGTTGCAGCTTCCACACTGGGAGCAAAGCTTGGACCTATTTTTTTCTTTACAGCTGCCTGAGACATGTCCATAGCCCAGGCATTGGTAAAATCTCGTTACTTCGATTCTTCGTCGCATTTGGCAGCTTACGAAGCCGGCTCTCAACCTGCCTTCATTCTCTGCTTGTCTAGCAAATGCTTCGTCTACCGTTATCAACGCCAGCCTCTGTCCTCTAATATTTGGGTTTAAGAGAGCTACTTTAGGCTCCTGGCTATCTAGTGCAAAAGTCTTGACAAAAGGCTCTTTAACCTCGTCTTCCTCGATAATAGCGTCCAGGTCGCGGATCTCTAGTATCACTTTTTTCGTGCTTATTTTCACAGTTCCCTGTCCGGCTACCGACTTTTCAATTTGTTGTGAGAAT